GGCAAGGGCGGCTGAAGACAGTCTAGAGCTATGATGTTTTGCACAGGGTTTCCACTGCAGAACCTCCTCCACTTGCACGACTTGCACGACAACCCCGTCATGCCTTCCAATCCGCGACTTTCTATGGGCTTCGTGCGATTTTGGCGGAGGAAGCTGCCGTCAGGAGGTTCGATTCTCCAGTACCGTATATGAGAAACGCAAGACGGCGACAGCTTGTCGCGGTCGGGAGCGAGCCAAGGACGAGCCAGCTTGCAGCTTCTCAGTGGCAGCTCATACCTTTATGTCCTTCACAGTCTGCGCCGCAAGTTTGTGGTGGCAGGCGTCTGGTGTTTTTTCAAGCGTGGTTTAGCAGAGGTGAACAGGCGTGTGGACCGAGTGGTCCAGACTGTTCTGCTACTGAAAAGCAGAGTGGGCACTTGTTGTGGTTGTTTCGAAGTCCGCTCTATGAGCCGGAAGCCCTTGCAATGTACAAGTATTGCATCCCTACTCGGCACCAAATCAGGACTTCGCAATGAGCCGGTTTCTGCTTTTACGAAGTTGTGGGGATTGTCGGACAGAGTGTCAGAGATAACTTGCTTGCCGCAGAGTGTTGTCTTGTCTTCCGAGTATGTGGACGACAGGAGGCGCAAAGGGATCCCCCATGACGCGCGCCAGTCATTGCAATCGCTACCTTGCCTTTCATGCCTTCTTCCACGCTTTTTCGCTGCTCTCTGTGTTCGCTAGTGGGTGGGAATGGGTTTCTCGGAAAGCAGCGTCTTCCCCCATGCCCGATTGGAGCAACTTTGGTGTGTCACTGGGCATGCCCACAGCCTTCATGTGCAGCGGAAGATGAAGATGTACTAGATAGAGAACTTTGCGTCTTACTTACAGGTCAAGTCAGAGTCCGATGTTTTGCTCGCTCCAGCTCGGCTTGTGTGGCAGCCGTGACATGTCCTTGGTATGCACACTTTCAAAGATGGCCACTGGCAGCACGGAAGGCTACACCACCGCGCGTTTTCATTGATAATCTGACATGGACTCTGCCGTGGCTCTCCGTGTGCCGTTGTCATGCTCCTATGCTGTTGTCAGCAGTGAGCACGAGCACAGTGTGTGTCAGCGCCCAGAGCGAGATTTTTCTTCATCCCATTAAGCAGAAGAAGACTTTGGGGAGGCATGCGCACCCTTCTCGATTGCTGAGCAGCTTCTGACAATGCATCCTGTGATTCAGATCTGCGCATCGCATCGAGATCGAGGTTTTGCCAAGAGCGTCAGCAACAGTTGTCTCTGAGCTTCCTTGTGCCCTCTCTGCATTTATGATGTGATGCTGGTTCCCTACTTGGCTTTAGCTTGTGCCGGTGACATGCCTCCAATCCAGCGCAATTCGTGTTCTTTTCGTCGATTTCAGATGTGTTTCGACATTCACAGCAGCCTACGTGGCAACATGGGCTCATGTGGTTCGGAAAGGGAGCTAGGAGGCCGCAGGAAGCTCCATTTCACGAAAGGGTTTGTGTCCGGTCTGATGTGGCTTTCAGAACCTGCTTTCTTGGTCTCAGAAACCATTCGGGCCATCAAGAAACACCGTGTAAGTTAAACATGGCATGGTTGCTGAACTGTCCACGACCCCCTGGAACGGTCATTTTCGATTTGACAGCGATCCCGCCCATCCCGACAATCGCTGAAAGCTTCAGAAGAGCCTTTGGGAGTGTCAGGATCGTCGCTGGACCCCTCCTTCCCTGCACATTGAAATGCCAGCTCCAACCCCGGCCTTTGTATGTTCGGGACCGAGGAGGCAAGGACCGATCTCTGCCGGCCACTTGCGATTCAAGCACTCCGGAGCGAAAGCGATGTGAAGGCACATTTGCCATGGTCATTTTGCCAAAGTCCTCGTCAGAAGGCTCGGTAAACCTGCAAGTTGCTGCAGCCGTGATGTCTTGCATTTCCTGAGCGCTTCTCTGCTTGGACGCGCGTCAGCGTGGCTTTGCCAGGATAGGGTCAAATGACTCGGGCTGTCTTCTCAGCACACGCGTCAAGCTGTTCTGCCTAAATGTGGCAGTGACTTGGTTCAGTGTAAAGACTGATGGTGATACCCCTCTAAACACGTGCAGGTCTCTTTTGCAGGGTGCCGCCTCCTCGTTTGGTGTCAGCATGCCGCTGAGCTCTTGAATAATTAAGGAGAGACGTCTCCTTGTTCAGTCCGCAGGCACTGCCGCAAGTGCGTTCTATTCTCTCCGAGTCGCTTACGCCTGCCTGTGACTGAGCAAGCATGACACGGGTGTATTTTTAGTTACACACAAAATGCAAACCTGCGCCGATCACGACCTGGTGCTTGGCATGCAGGTCTGTGTGGCTGTGGGTTTCTAGCGAAGTCTCTGCATAATCCGACAGTAGCATGGTCTGAATGCCAGCAGATCTGAAACATCTTTCTGAGCTTCCATGCTTGCAGCAGGAGCGCAACAGCCTAGCTGCAATCCAAAGCTTTCCCAAGGTATGTTTTTTCGTTTCGCGTGGTCCAGCTTTGTAAGGTGCTCCTGCAGGTGTCGCCGATGCCCACGGCATGCCCAAGGCAAGAGGTTCCATGCTGCTCAGGGTGGCAGGCCACGTACCTCGAGGCTGCTGGTCACATCCAGAATGATGTCTTGCCACATTGCCTGTTGCCGAGCTTGCCTCCATCAACACTGAAGGGTAACCAACCCATCTTGAGGCCATGCTTGCTGCTCATTTTCGGGCATTCTGAGGGTATGCTCAAGAAGAGAGAGAGAGCGAGAGAGAGTCGGTAGTATTCTCAGTCGAGAAGCAGCAAGCACCAGTTGAAGTACATGAATTGCAAGACAAGATGTGGCTGGAACCAGGAGCCGTCTGAGTCTGTCATTTTGACCCGTTCGTGGTGTCAGCGTCCATGTCGCACCGTGTAGCTAACCCCCAGTCGTCTGCAGCAGGCTGTGACCAGTCGGTCGCCTCTATCTCTAGCCTGGACCATTGCCTCTCGTTGAGCCATTCCACAGTGGGTGCAGGGGCATGCCAGCAAGCCATATGCACCGCGAGGAGCGCATCCCATGACACTTTGCGTATGCTCAGCTCTCGGCTGGCGCAGCATGCAATGTAAGTTGCATTTGGGTTAATCCGTTCTGGGTTCAGCAATGCTTTCTGGACCGGCCTAGCGTGAGAATGATGACAGCAGTAGATCCTCGATCCTGCTGCCGGAGATTGTTGTTCTAGAGATGACTCGGCACGGTATGTCCACTGTGGTCTGAACAAACACAAAAGGCAATTTCGATCTATCTTTACATGAACGCGCAGCTGCAAGCATCTCGACAAGCGTGGCAGCGTACCATACTGCCTAGCTGGTCTGGAAACTCAGTAGCACTGTTGTCATAGATACTGTGATGATCACAGTTCGTGGATGCTGGAGCTGTTGCCATCAAAGCATCCGCAAACCGAGTGTCCTGCAAGTAGCTTTTGCCAAGGGCTCCTTTCATTTTGCGCATTCGTTCTTTGTAACCCTAAACCCTAAACCCTAAACCCTAAACCCTAAACCCTAAACCCTAAAAGGAGTTTCGCTGGCTTTTTGCCCTCGATCTTGCGGCCTACTGGACTTAGCCAACTTGCGGACTTTGGCCAGGCAGCTTGCGCTCTGGTTCCTCAGGCACGGTTTAGGGTTTAGGGTTTAGGGTTTAGGGGTTTAGGGTTTTGGGTTTAGGGTTTAGGGTTTAGGGTTTAGTGCGGAGCTCTGCGATACACCTAGCATATGTGTCTGCTGGCAAGTAAGTGCTCCCCGAGAGACCTCGAGAGCATCAGTTGTTAGCATGCCCTGCACATCACCTGTACAGTCATGGTCCGTTTTGGCAGAAGGTGGCAGACTTAGCTGTCAAGCACGTCACTCCGTGAAATGTTTGCTTTGAGGGTAACGTCTCTCCCGGCGCTTCAGACGCCCTTGTTGCCGCAAGCGCGATCATGTTTGTTGGCCGTTCGCAGATGCTGAAAGAGGCGGTGTGCCACCGCCTTTGCTCAGATTGACACTCGGACGTCTGTCTACCTTGAACAGAAGGAGGCCTGGTGCTTCACGACGCAACAGACATGATGTGATCAACTGTAAACCCAAAACCTTCAGCTGATTTCCGGAGCACTTTCTGATGTCGGTTCGGTTCTCTATTCCTAAACCCTTATCCCCAAATTCCCAAACGGATCCCTAGAAATCGGGATCACCGATCGTCGTTGTGCTTTCTTTGGGTGGGGTAGGGGAAGGCGATGTCGAGGCTTGAATTACGAGGGCTTGAGGAAGCGCATTTTGGGTTTAGGGTCCGGGGTCCGTTTAAGGAAAGCTTCGATCCCCTCGTGTAACGTAGGAACTTCTTCAACATGTAGTATGCTTTTGGACCGGACTGGGTGTAGTTGAAACAACTCCAGCAAAAAGTCAGGGCCTATCCCTCAACCGTAAACCCTAAGACAATAGACCCCCGAAGCAGTCGACTGAAATCCCAGTTTTCACGCCCTAGGTCCGGTTGGAAGTGGCTTCGGAGGGCGTGTGGGTTCTTACAGTTTGCAACTCTTCATTTTCGCGAGCTTGAGTGTTGCGACCACGGTCTGAGTTTCATCCACGAGCCAGCCTCTCCCCTAGCCCCTGTTCAGCGGACCGGTGAACTTAGCAAGTAGGGTTGCAAGTACCTCAGTGGGGTCATCCGTAGTCCAAAACCTACCTTCCCCTCAGGCTTCTTTCTGTGTTTAGAGCTTTGGGCCTAAACCCTAAACCCTAAACCCTAAACCCTAAACCCTAAACCGTAAACCCTGAAACACTAAACCCTAAACCCTAGACCCTAAACCCTAAAAAGGCCGAAGTTTCAAGCTCGAGGAGCTGCCTGGTCCATCCTTCTCTGGATCCCTGGGGCAGTGAACCCCCTGAAGCCCTGAGCCTTGAAACCACGGACCTTAGGTCTTGACGCCGAAGATCCCTCATTGAGCGTAAAATAATGATCGCCCTAAACCCCCGAGTTTGCGATAGGTTTGACGTGCGTTCGGATGGGGAGATGGTGACCGTCACCGCCAAGGTCACCAATTGCACCAACGAAGGGACCTGCTTCCCAGATGCAAATGGTGTGGACCTGTTTGAGAACCTTATAGGAAACCTTCATGCACCGTTGCAAAGCTTTGTGAAACCTGTCACAGGCATAAGAGGTAAGCGGTGGAAGATGCCGTTCCTGCAGTGGTCTGTTGGCTAAGTATGTCTTGCATCGCTTAGCTAAGGTATGACCGTCTCTAACAATGACTGGTACCTCGGCGGGCTGTACTGTCCTCTTGGACGGGACGTCGCGAAGGGTGGCATCGTCTATCTTCGGCAGCATGCAACGCCAGAAGACATGCGGTACCTTCGCCTGGCGCAGGTGGGTTCTTAGGCTTCAGGGTTTAGGTTTGGGGTAATGCCCTTCCGCTTATGATGCACAGTGCGTTTTCCCGCGAGTTGCACTGGAATCAAGATGATCGACAACCCTCAACCCCGTAAACTCTTAAAATCCGAGCTATCCCACCGTCTTGAAACCTCGATGAATCAGCAATTGAATCCTGAATCCTTAATCCGAAACTCTTCGTCCTCAATCCCAAACCCCTAAACCTTCTTTTTCTCGCAGTAAACCAGACCAGGGCGACGATGGTTGCACGGATGGCCAGTGGGTCCTCGCCAATACAAATCCCAACGACTTTGTCGACACATCAGCTAAACATTAAATCCGAAACCCCCAAGCCTAAACCCTAAACCCTAAAAAACAAGCCGAAGCCAGGGGTTTAGGGTTCGGGCGGCGTTGGGGGGGGGGGGGTTATGGTTCAGGGCTCAAGGCGTTAGGTCAGCCAACAAGTCTGTCTATTTGCATTGCCACCACCGAATTCATGAGAGCCTTCCACAGTGGTGGGGAAGAAGACAAACGTTGCAGAACCAGTAGGATGACATGAGAAACATCAACATCAACAGCTTTCCGTCTTACGAGTTTGTTTTGCCCTTCCCAGGCATTGGGCATCTATGAGCTTCGCAGCTCGAAGCGGGATTGCATTGAAGCCGGCTCCGTCCAACAGGCCCTGAGGCAGTGCTCCACGAAGGAGTTGGCATTCATCGAGATGAAGGAGTCTCTTCGAAGCGCGAGGGCTTAAGGATGAGAACGACAGAAGGCTGCGAGACAGGCTTCTCATGGACGCGGAGATTGCATGCGCTCCCTTCGATTTGCACCAACGTGAGGGCCATTATCCTGCTGTAGAGGGAAGCAGGCTTATGCCGCCTGATCAGACTGCCCAGCGCCGATATACCAGAACCATTTCTTTCTATTGCAAAATCGGGGGTTGAGGGATGGGAGTGAAGGAGTAGCCGAGGTGTGACTTGTCTGGCAAGTCCAGATGGCCCGCAGGGTTGAAGTTTGGTTTTGGGCACTTGGTGTATGCTATTGTAATTGTAGCAGCGCCGGCTGCGCTGACCATCTAGCACTGGACGCGATGACAACTTCAAGTTCACAGGTCAGGGGCTACAGACACACAGCGGCATGCAGTGAGTGCGAACACGGAATACGGTCACCCACGCTGGAAGCTGCCTGTTTTCAGCTCACATCATCCACAGTCTCCTAGAAGCTGCACAGCATGCACATGTACATGACGTGCGGAACTGCCAGGTTTCTGCACGTGCCTTGCTTGCACTTGATGGTCGAGTCCACAGGGATGTGCAAGCCTGCCTTTGGGTGCTGCCTTTGCTTTCGCACCATGTGTGAGCATCCTTTCAGTTCGCACTGCACTGCAAACCCCAACCTTTATTCGCTTTACCCTGTAAGGTTTAGGGGTACCTTGGAATAACAGCTGGCGCTTCAGGGCATGCTGCAACAGATCGTCCATGAGGCACGAGGGATTGGCCCTGAACAGGGCGAGGGTCATTCTTGAAGATTCAGAGACTGTTGCGGGCTGCAGTGACACGTCCTGAGACGCTTTCTCTCTTCACACGCCACCAAGATGACATCTGTCCATCCCTCTTGCTCTCCGCATGGCGAAACACACCGGTCATTCTGTTTCACGGTGCTTAGTCAAGCAGTGTTGGCCGGCAGGGCAGTTGCAGATGTAGGATCATGTCTATGGCTAGAGATGGTGGTCTTGTGTCTTGTGTGGCCACGAGTGTCTGTGCGTCACCGATTCCAGCATCAACTTCAACACGAGCAGAGCCACGGCTGCGTGGCAGAGAGCCAGGCGCCATGGCAAATCTCAACTCGAATCTACGCCTTCGGCTGACACCAGCACATCCATAATTATCGCTTTGAGCATGATTCCAACTTCCCGTGTATCCCACAGACTTGTGTGGATGAGCCATTGCCACATACAAAGGATCATCCAATAAAGGTAAAGGCTGGGATACCGTGATTTTGCAGGGTCGCATGGCTCTCGCTTGACACAATAAGCATACTATAATGATCTCTTGTACCTGAAGCAGCACCCCAGCAAGTCGCCATTCGCATTGGATTCAGATGTTATTTGAGGGCTTTCCACGATGATCCCAACACTTTCCTTGCTCGTGCCGGAAACCATCTCGTCAGCCTTCGTTGCCGACCTCTAGCATTCACACACCCCGTGTTCTCTCCATTGCTGATACGTGCTAGCAGAACGACAGCGTTTCGAGCCTTTCGAAGGCTTTTGTGGTGTGGCTGAAGTCACCGAAGTAATGCAGTCTCAGAGATTGCTCCGCCACAATGGCCGGAGCACAGCTGAGAGTCGTTCCATCCCAGCAACACATGTGGCTTCACACCTGAATGTCATCGAACTGAATTGGCAGCGGACGCAAACCTGATCATTGTTTGGTTGACTTGTGGCGTTCGACGTCTGAGCAGAAGCAGGTGTGTGTAGGTTTGCCGGATCTGGCCGGCGCGTGATTGCCTTGCCTGGCGACTTCTTGTGAACAAGAGGAGGCTTTCAAGTGGGGTTGCGCAGCTCGACAATGTCCAGGATTTGTGCCGGAGTAGAGCCACTCAGAAGCCCCTTAGGGCTGGGAACGGATAGATCAGCACATCTCGTTCATTTCTCTCAACGGGCACTTTGCCAAGGTGAGTCGTGATAACCTTCTTTTGGCAAGGGCCATGAATCGAGGCAATTCCGAACTTGACCAACGAGGCCTGTGCATCCGCTAGACGCCTGATCCACTGCTCCACGTGCTATGATGGAGGAAGGCGACTTGGCTGATCTCTGCAGAAGCTGGTCTCCTTCAGCATCCTGCCAGAAGATCTGTATTTCCACCAAACATCCCACGTGGTTGTCAGCACAGGGTGTTGTTAACAGTTCGCCTGGGGCTCCAGCCGAAAGTTGCAGCGAACAGTTGTCCAGGTTGCTCTTCATTCCTTGGACATTGCCTGTCCAGCCTGCCTTCTTTACCTCTTGCCCCGCTTTCATAGTTCCCTTGCACTTACACACCTCGGCCTTTGTTCGTCATTCCCAAAGTTGCCGAAACCGCAAGACAAGAGTTTCCAGATGTCAGTTCCTTACTTTGCCACGTTCCCTGCGCAGTGCTATGATGCAGTTTCGTAAAGCCAGGCGCTGCTGAATCGTTTGAGGCGCCCTGTCTTAGCAGAAGGGTAGTGGACGGAGGGCGAGGAGCACCTCCTGGAGGCAGTGGTGGCTCGTTCCTTTTGGACTGAGCACTCGGAGCGTAACTTCCAGAGTTCAGCAGCCGCACTTGCAGGATTCACGCGTGAGGATCGAAGTTTCTTAGGCTGCTGGCAATTGGAAACTGCCACTGACGAGTTTCTGACCTTTTCAGGTGCCAAGACTCCTCGTGGTTCGAAATGGGGTTTGAGGAGCTTCGTAAGTTCTTGCTGGCGATGAGCCGTCTACGTGTCGGGGCAGTGAGTCGTGCTTTGGCCCCAGAGTGGTCAGACCAATGGCCTTTCTGGGGGTTGCGGGGATCATGACATGCACAAACTGCGACATACCAAGAATCAGGAGCCCGTTGTGGGCCTCAGCCGCTGCTGCATTGCCTTTTCCTCAAAGGTTGCTGGTTGGAGGCCGATTAACCACACCTGGTTTTGTTTGGTTGGAAGTGCAGGTCCAGGTAGGTTCGGTTCGGTTTAGCCATTTAGGCCAAAGGGGTCGCCGCATGAACGGCCATGGTCGTGACATGGATCAGCGCTGCAGCAACAGATTGCAGCGGCCGAGCGTCCCTGCGTAGTTGTCAAAATTAGGGTCCCTTTTGGGGTACCCTAAATAATAGGTGCCGTATTATAATAAGGACCCCCAAAAGGGACCAACATTTTGACAACCACCCCCCTGTAGTGGATAAGATTCTTTCCGGAACGAGGTCCCAGGATGTCTCAGATTCCTCTATACTTCAGGCAAAAAGTTATCGCAACTATTGAACTATTGGCCTTGCGAGCGCACATCGCTATTTCTATGCAGAGGTTGCGCGGATAAGGCCCGAAGTTGTTGCAGATGAATGTTGGCAGCGTGGCAGTGAGTAGAGCGGCTTGCCATGAGGGCTGATATGCTTTCGGTACTGGTTGGGCTTTTCAGTTCTACGGTACTGGCACCATGTGTGCGATGTAGGCCTATGTTGCACCGACAGAGGCTGCATGTGCGAAAGTCTTCAGCAAGGAACTCGGCAAGCGCCGTATTCTGCAAGCCACTGTCTTCACCTGTAATTTTGCCGCTGCAAGCTACATTCAGATGCTGCGGCCCTGCTACCAGGGCGTCACACACCGTGAAGGAACAGCAAATGCGTCTTATTTCAGTGTTGCACCTGCCTCTTGTCATGCTGCCACTTAGATGCTACGTGTATCCTGGCAACGGAAGACGCACAGCGAGTGCGACCCCCTTGCATCGACAAGATTAGACATCCCTGCAGAGCATGCTCAAAGCATGCTCAAACATGCTAAAGCATGCTGGAGCACGAGCGCTAGTCGGTTCACTGGACACAAGCTAGAACGTCAGCCAGCGCTTTCAAGCCGTCTTTGTGAAGGACGCCTTGTGCAGATTCCCTACACCATGGCATAACTTTGTGGCATTGCAAATGACAGCCTCGATCGGTGTGGTCACGGCTCTATGGTCGACCAGGTGCAGGTTGCCTATCTACAGAGTTCACCCCTGCTGAGCAGTTGTGAGGTTTGTTCGAACAGGCTGTTGGGTGTGGCTTTGCCAAAAATCGGGGTTTGCACGGATTGGATGCCGTGTTCTTGCAGTTCTCACTTTGCAGCAACCTTGACATCGCGGATTGCTTGTGACTGTCACGCTTTGGGGCTGTATCCTTACTTCAGCAATAGTGACAGCGAGCTGACTTGCTTGAGGAGGTCCGGCCCAGACTGCAGAGACTTGCCATGTCTAATGTGGTTGTCGCAACCGGTGTGGCTCGGGACACCGACCGCCAGGGAGAGTCCGCAGGTGTAGCCGCGAATGTGACCAGGGAGGTGGCCAGAGCGTACCAGGATGCACACATTTGAAGAAGCGATTCAGGGAACTGGCCCTGGCTTGGTTGGTTTCGTGATCAACAGCAAGATGCTGGGTAAACGACCTTGGCATTTTGGGGATCCCGTTCCAACTGTTTCACCACTGTATTTCACGTGCTTGTAGTAACAGGAGGAAAAGGCGTCCATGTGTCGTGGCGGCTGTGACTCGAAGAATTCATGCAATCATGATGACAATGATTGCGAATGTGGGAAGAAGGTTCTCAATGAGAACGATGATAGTCTGAAATGGCTACGTTCATGACGATGGTGACGACCGTGATGATGATGATGCTGATGATGTTCATCATCGCCGTATGACTTCTACTTGGTTTTTAAGACCTTCAGCTATCCAGCGAGGTGCCAATGCCCACGCCTGCGCCGGTACCTCCCATAGAAGTGGTCTCCCCTGCGGTCATCGATCACAGTGCCGATGCCGGCATGCCGCGTGGCCATCGACAGGGTTTGCATCTGGTTGCTGTCGCGAGTAGAGATGCACACAACTCATGTACGAAGCCATTGGGAACGAGAAAGTGTCATGAAGACTGGTTGGACGAGCAGTGGGGTCCGTGGTTTCAGTGCAGCCGGGCTACAAAGGGCAGTGGCAGAAGGTGAGATCTTCTTGTTTGCAGTGTGCCAGTCTCGAAGGTGCTAAGAGGACTAAGTTGGCGCTTCGTGCCTAAGGACCCTCTTCTGCTTCGCCTGGTCACCACGGCGGAAGAACGACGAGGGCATGCTTAACGAGGCCTTCAAGATGGACACTCAACCCTAAACTCCGAATTCCGCCTACGCTGTAACCCACGAAAGTCTTCTTCACGTCAAGCGTAAACCGCTGTGTTTATGCTGTTTGGGACGATTCTGGCAATGCTTGTGAAAACTACACATTTAGAAGGTACTGGACATCCGTGTGACCCCGGCAGGAATAAACATGAACCGTCGCCCTCCACCCCCCCACAACTCTTGTCATTGCTCTCGTGAGCAAAAGCATCACCATCGCGGTCATCATCATCATCATCATCATCATCATCATCATCATTCATTTCTTTCATTCATTCCTTCATTCATTCATTCATTCCTTCATTCCTTCATTCATCAGTTCATTCATCATCATCATCATCATCATCATCATCATCACCGTCATCGTTGTCGTCATCGTGTGCAGCACGGCAAGTATTCCCCACTTCCGCAGGTCCGGAGGCAGTACAAGAAGTGCGACGGCCTGACCCCCAGTGTTAGTGTTACTTTGCTTCACAACCTTGAACCTCCGCAGCGGAAGCCCGCAGAACCACCCCGGACGATCTTCATGAAACTCAACTAGATCATATGACATTATATTGTTACAATATATTTGAGTATGTTGGAGTATGTTCTAATATGTTTTTTTAAAGACAAACCTGTCACCCCTACACGCCAAGTCACACCAGGTCACCTCTTCTTTACGGACACCGAGAGTCCAGTGAAAGAGGACGAAGAAGACTTTGTCCGAGTCCAGGTGCCAAAGCAGCGCGTGCCGCTCCTCCGAATTACCTTTGGGTTTAGGGCTTTGGGGATTTTTGGGGGCTGTTGGGTTTGGGATGTTTTGGTGTTGGCCTTCGGGGCTTTAGGGTTTCTTTTGGTTCAGGGCTTGGGCCTGAGGCTTTCGGACCAATATATAGAAACGCAACAACATCCGTTTTGGGATACTGCTGAGTCGGCATGATGAATTCCACTGGTGTGATCATTATTGGGATTGCCTCTGCCAGTTGTTCCTGTTACTCGTATGTCTTAGTTTGCTTAAACCCTAAACCC